CCGGCGTCACTCAGCGTGCTGTTATATTTAGCATTTTTCTTTTTCTTAATTTCCACTGTCTCTCCCGGTTTCATAGAGCTCCGTATTTTGTTTAAAAGTATTTTAATGTGCTACTCACGTAAACTGTAAACAATACTGGATATTTGTAAAACTTTGGAAGTTAGAATTAAATAACGCATTTTAGGAATTCAACTGGAATTCTTCAAACTTTAACCAGTTATACATGTTTGATTATAACCAGCTCCAACAGTGAATTTACACACGTAGTATGTTTTAAGCGCTATCTCAGTTTTCCTACATGAGAGATAAAGACAAAAAACTGTCTTCGGTTCAGCTTAAACTGTGTGAAATAATAATAAAAACACAATTTAAAATACTTCAAGTAAATATGCTATAGCTCTTTACCATCTACTAGTTTTTAAAACATCAAAGATATGGTAATATTAAACGACTTTTGCCCTATTTACTGTCTTTTAATTGTATTAATTTTTTTATTAAAATATTTTTAAAACAATAAATAAATATAATACACAGGTAAATTTGATAAGTCTGTCGACACCCTTTTCACGCTGCACCCATGAATGTAAAATGCTTATGAATCCGTAGATTAAACCGAATTTCCATTTCATTCGTGCGGTCGCAGTGAACGAAAACACCCGTCAATGTTTAATGTTCATCGGTGTCCGTTGATTAATGTATGGCAATTAAGGGTTAATTAATATCCGTTCACGTGTTTCCGGTGAGATTGCTTAAGAGATGTACATATATGCACTAATATTCAGTCCTATCATTAAATCTATAGTAGCTAACGCCACTTTGGTAAAGGAAACGTTATTTTAACGACCACTTATTGCTTAATAGTACTTTAAATAATATAATTTAGTTCAATTGACTTAAAACTTTAGTTTGAGTAAATTTCAATAAATATGTATATATTAATTTGACTTGTAAAATTGTTCCTCTTTAAAATGAGGAATCACTTTTTTCGCATATATTTTTGGGGTATCTTGAACCCTTATCGCTGTGTACGCATCGGAAACCCACAAAAAAATTACCTCTATTGCTTCGCTCCTATTAGTTTTGTTATTATTATGTTTTATAGCCTATATATTATACAAATAATTTTCAATTCAAACCAGTAATTTCTGAATGGCGTGTTCAAACAAACAAACAAACTCTTCAACTTTATAAATTAGTATAGATGAAACGTTTAGTTCTAACATTGGTTTAAAAAAGTCGTTCTTGATTCCTTCCAAACTGAACGATACCGCATGCACCGGTAAATGTTTAATATGAAGAACATTTAGGAAAGGCCAAGCGTGAACTTGTGTACACCCCTGCTGTCACTTTTCTCGCTTGACAACTTGACATATTAGACGTCACGTCTGTATTTTGTGAGGCATATGTTGGGATGAGGCTGTAAGAGTTGCCGCTAAAATAAATTATAAGATAGAGTTAGAGAACGATTTAAGGAAATCCATGGGTTCAAAACAAGGTTTTTTTTTATTCCAACCTAGGACTTACGTCTTATCAGCGTTCTATCTTTGGTGCACTGTTAGCATTTTCACTCTTTCGAAATAACGTTTTTAATTTATGAAGTTCCTCATAACTTGTGTTTTTATATACTGAGTACAATTATTTATATGTATTTAATAAAAAGAGATATTCCTAATCAGACGTAACTAAACAACAACCTAAAGCTAAAATTCTGAGTTATATAAAATGTCTTATTGTATTGTATATTTCATTTGTTTTATTTAATAATTTAATATTGTTTTGTCAAAATCAATAGAGGTGGTTGACACTTCACAGAATCAAAAATACTTGTCGTCTTATTTAAGAGTAAGTTTTTAAAAGATAGAATAGCAGCTATAATTAAAACAGTTATGCTTTGCAACTGAAAGTCTCAGCTCAACTTTCAGGGACTTTTTAAGTAAATTAACAAAGTAAACCGAGCGTGCTGTGTTTTGTAGATACAAATCTTTCGGTTCAGCTTAAAATAAACTCAATGACTGCCGGCGAGGGAACTTCTCATCGCGATCACCTTTACTGGTTATCTGGACATTTGCATCCGGTTTGAAGTCTATTCTTGCAAAATAAATATATTTTATTATATGATAGAGAAGGACGGACTAACGTGGTCTTCACTTGATGGAAGGTGAAATGTCCAATTTATGTAATATCTATACATGGTGAGCTGTATGTAAGATGTAGCCACAGCGCGAATGTAAATAGTACATTCGCGCTGCCACTTAAATTTGTCATAATGATAATTTATTAAGTTTGTTTGTCATCTGATAGGAACAGACTGATGCCTTTTATCACAAAGTTAAAATTGTAGTCTTCCTTGTATTCTTTTAATTGTAAGTTTTCTTTTTTATTTATTACTTACTTTAATTGTAAATTATGTACTTTGTGATAGTTAACGGATTATTTATTTAAATTTAAATAAATAGAAATACTTTAGGAAAAATTACGACTTCTGTAAGAATGAATACTTTTTTCAAATTATGTTACTGTTTTTCGTCTATACATTGGATTGAATGTCCTAACTACGCGTCTTTACCAAATGTTAGAACGTTTGTAAAGACAGATAACATATTCAAGTTAATATTTAATTTTAATTTAAAATCTTACCGAATTACTAAGTGCCAGCATTAATTACCAGGAGTCGGGATTTTTATCGTTAACAAGTTGCTTTCTAAATTTGAAAATTTCTTCCGCGCGTTAGCGGATTTGTGGTTGAGGTGTTAAGATATTTTTAAAGAGCTAATTTGTGAAGACGGACATATTACTCCGACGACGTATTTTTAAAAAATATCCTCGTTTCAGCCCGTTGCAAGTGATTTAAGAACTAGTTCGAGTAAATTTAACAAGAGATTAGACGAATTAGATCCAGCTTTAAAATAACTGCGTGATCTTAATATAACAGCATGCGTCGTTGATTTGGCTTTTTAAATAATAATAGTTAAAAGTGAGATAACAATTTTGAGATTACAAAAAAAAAAACAAAAAGAAGTATTGCTGTATTAATTCAAATATTTTTCGATATTACGGCAGGTGAATATAGATAAGTATTTTTTTATAATTTCGCTGCTTCCTCGTATTAAGGATTGTTGTATAATTGTATCGACAGATTAAAGAAAGCCGACTACAATAAAGACCTAAACTTTCTTTACCCTTTGCCCTTGGTATCTCAAGTTAAGAATTATATTCCGGACATTACTCACCAGTTTCATTAAGCACAGTGTAATACTTGCTTCGTAGTCGGACGAGTCAAATGAACTGAGACCGAGATACGGCCAAGACTAATTTTCAATTAAAACTTCATCAAACTTTAAACTTGTAACTTAAGATTATGCTCTAAGTTACAAAGTATTGCGACAAATAATTCCAGCTAGTAAACAATAAACGGACAGTGTAATATAATATAAATATGCAATTTCATGCACAAAAATTATTTTTATAGATATAAAAGTAAATGCATAAAATAAAATTACCATAATACATATATATGTTATAAGGTTTAATTTAAAAAGAAAATGTCTTTTAATCTATTGAATTTTAAATGTAAACTAAATCAGTGTTACTAAGAAAACCATAGCATGTCAATATACATTTAACAAAAAGTATATAGTTCGTTAATTATTCTACAAATTAAGACGACTATGTATTCGTTGCACTTTGGCTTATTTCAATGCTTTTTCATATCCAATATTAAGGGACCCACAGATGCTGTATATTCGCGCAATTTTGAAATTACAACATCGTAATTTTGCGAGTATAGTGCCCTCCATCACGTGTGAAAGGAAAATAATTCTCAAACTATGTAACATATAAACAAAATTAGAATAAACATGTCTTTTTATGATTATATTGTTAATATGTAGGCTTAAGGCTTATAACTTGAGCCACCTAAAGATAAAATCTTTTCGAACGATTCTCAGGTGAGGCACGGCGCGGCAACCGCCATTAATGTTTATTTAGCCATTAATTGAGAACATTAAAGCGAACGATAATGACGCGCACATTTTAATGGTTGTTAACTTAATAATCGGGATTACACGCTACTGTCTTCTTGCTTTTGTTTTGATTCGTCGTTTTGCTCGAACACATTAATATCGTTAAGTATCTTGTAGTTAACACTGCTACAAAGAAATCAAACGTATCGACATATTTTTTTTACCTTAACATTTTCCAATCGTTTAATGTCGTCTTGAAATACTTTACTAGACGCAATATGTTCATTACTAATGATAATATATTTGTTCGAGGCTGACTTGCCTTTAAGTGATCGGGAAAACAAAAAATGTGCCTGCCCAATTATTTTCGAACTTAACACTTGCGTATTCAATTTATGACATAAGACTGCGCGAGAGGTGATTGTATCAATAATACGATGACATGTAGGATTCGGTAGCTCAATGGCTTAGAGCAACAGCATGGAACTCTGTGGATGCCAGTTCAAGTCCTGCTCGAGTCGTAAATTTTTCAACTTATAATTGATTTTTAATTTATATAGTGCCATCACGTACATGTGAAAAATATTAAAGACTGCAAACGAAAATTTCACTTTGTTATATTGTTACCGTACGCTTGATATTGCTAAAATTAAACCAAGCATGGAACGTTGTCTAATATTTTACGCCCAGTAAACAACGTTTTGAGATCAACAACGACACGCGTTGTCTGCGTCGACTTTACAAGTGGGCGACGACGGCGACGAAATTGGATTTTTATCGGATCCCGACAAAACATGTACATGATCCCGTCGTTGTGCATGAAAAATTGTGTACCTTCACTATATGGTGTGTTTTAAGTTTAAAAACATCTAAAGATCTACGTTTCCTTTCATCACAAAGTGTAGGTACCTTTGTGATCGGGTTTTTTTTTTAAAGTATGCTACATTCACACACAATAATAACATAAATCAAATACATGACAACACTTCCTTACAACACGTTGACAAAAGTTTAGGTTAAATATTTTTTCCGCGTGTAATGAGGACAATCCATCATATGACGAATATCGAAAGCCAAAAGAGGTTAAATAACGTGGCGGTAGGGATTTCTATAACTGCGTAGTCTAGCTCTGTGAAGCGATTAAGTCTTGTTTAGAGTCAAGAGTATTAACACCGTTACTTATAGGTTAGGCTGCTGCTCAAACTTACTGCGTTACCAAAAGTAATTTATTTTCATCGATTCGATCGTTGCGTATTTTGTGTTAATTCGTTTTGGACTACTTACTCTTTTACACTGTTCGAAAAGTCGTCTATTTTAAATATTCTATCGACCCAAATGACAACAGTCTATCACGTATAAAATCTAAGCAAATATTATAACTTTTTAATAAAACAAGGATTATTAAAAAAAATATTCTAACTGCTTAGCAGCCGTGGGAGACCCGTGGCCCGTAAATTTTTAAATAAGTTTAACTGCTATATTTCGCGTTTATAATCTTTGACGGGTTTTATTTTAACGTGTACTACTCGTGACGTTTTCCCCGACCGAATATGCACTAAAACTGTTTATATTTATAAGTGTTACATTTGTTGCAGCGCGAGGGAGCTGCGCGCAACGATGCGGAACGCGAGCGTCGCGCGCGCGGCGACTGGGAGGCTCGCGCACGCGCCGCTGAGGCTGATGTCGCGCGGCTGGCTGGCAAGTTGCACGCTGCCCAGCGAGAGATTGTCAGGTAAGGTTCATTTGACCATACTTATATATATAAGTCGTCAGAAAAGATGGCAACAACTGCACATATATAAACTACCAAGTTATGTTGACAATCAGAGGGAAACCCAGTGGGGCTTTGTTTAGTTTTACGAAAACTTTATACACAGCAAACCATCCTTTTAACATCTGACCTATCCATTTAAATACAAACTCATGAAATATATTGACCTAATTTAATTTAATTTTATTTACGACCCGATATTTTTTGCTTTGCAGCATGAGACAAAACAAAGTATTTTATTTATAAATGTATACTACTCGCGTAAACTACTCTCAATATTTGGCCTATCCAATCAATTTAAAGCAAGGTCACTGCGCAGATTATATAATACAAAGGCAAGAAAATAGTCCTTCGAGCCGGATTGTTTATCTTCTGTTAAAAATTCATAGTTTAATATAGAGTTACACTTTTTATAACTCTGTAAGCAATTTCCGGTTCATTTTATTCACAAGGCACATGGGGACACGACAAGATGTTAAATACTCTTTGAGCACCTATGTGAAGGTACCCAGTTAGTGCTACTCAAAAAGGGAAGCTGGTAACAATGACCTACTCCTAAATAGCTTCAGGCTGACTGGCTGATCAAAGCGTTCATCAACGCAGCTCCCGCGATGACAGATTAAAAGTTAAAGTGAACGAAGAAAATAGGTTAATGTTTAGAGCGAAACAAAGGGCGAAAACAGAAAATGATACGTCTAAAGAGTTGGTTTGTTTTCATACAGTCTCAATGAATATTTGATGTCTCAAAATTTATGCGTACGCGCGTAATTTTGGTAAACTGGCTTGATTTGAATTTTTTTTAGACAGTCAATCTTTGAAGTTCTTTTTATCAATACATATATAAATGTAAAAACAATATCGTCTAGTTTTACTTTTCACTTCAGTACAAAGTTCATCGCTCTCTGAAATGGCGCCCTTACAACTACAAAGGGAGCTCGGTTCTTACATTTTACTGTCGAGAGGTAATTTTTGTGATGTCTGCATGACCAAGTAGCTAATTTTGCACTTAAGTCTCGAAAAATCTAAAGCAATTAAACCACTTACTTCGCCATAACTTCAAACCCAATAATGTATAAAACTTACAATACAGTACTGGGCTTAAAGCTATATATTTTCTAAGAAACGCATATAAAAAGAATATTTTCTACATTTTAGCCAAATCTACATACAAAATAATAGTTATGTTAGTCTCAGTATTTCTTCGGTATATAAACTCGTTCCATATAACGACCGGTGCACAAGTATATACAAATAATTCGACCACGGACGTTATGACTACATATACTGAAATAAAACACTTTCACGGATTAAAACGCTAAATATATTAATTAAACTTATTTTAAAATTACTACGGTTCGACGTTTCGGATGCTTTGGAACAGTTTTATTTAAACGTGTACTACTCGCGTAAACTATAGACAGCATTTACATATACTCAAACAATTAAAACCATAGAAAAGTACCTTTTATGTAATGTGTATGTAATATGTATGGTGCAACGTTATTTCATTTATTTATAATTGAAAACAACTGCACAAAATAGAATGATCATTTGTTATGATCATTTGACGCCACGTTTGTTAGTTGTTGAAATAAATAGGACATTAGATGGCTGACCGTTCCACAGAGATCACTGAACCACGCAGATCAGCATTGTCCTGAGCTTCGAACACTCTCCAAGCACAAGTGCCATCCTAGGGCTACTGACCTCTCTAGTATTATCAAGTAATCTACTTTTATCCTGGGTTTATGCATTTTGGAGTTATGTAAATTAACTATTGAATTTTTATGAGGTTGTAACATTATTAGACTGTAATCGGTACTTGGTGCTCGAAAAATACCCTATTACTTAGTGTAGCTTCTTTTAAATATTAATTTGATTACATTCAGTAGATTTTTACAGTAGATCTTTTTATAACAACGGCGTGCAAACTGACGAGTCAAAGTTAAAAAATAAATAAGTTGATATATTTTACGTTTGATAGCGATAAAAATGTTTATTTAAATACAAGTTAAGAGTTCTTATATGATTAGTTGTTTATAATACGACATCATTAATATTTACTCGTTCAATGATTTACAAATTCCCGGTGCATGGTTTTGCGCGAATCGATTCGATCGAATTTGACTATATAAATCGGTTTTAATTCCAAACCAAGGAAACCAAGTATCACTTTATATATAAAAAATACATCGAAATATAGCATACATTAATTAAGAATCGTTTATAGTTACAGTTTACAGGTAATACACGGTTATATGAATACAGACACTGTTTAATATAGCGCGGCAATAAAATTGGGGGTTGATACCGGCTTAATTGGCGCGTAATTGGCTTCCATAATAACATGTATTTCGTGCTATTGACTATTCATTACGGGGTTCGTAATAAACCTTTAGAGATGAGACATTTGTGTGCTTAGATACAATATTACTCAACTATAATGTTTATTACTTTGTTTTTTTCCACGAAGTCCCACGTGTTTTAAAGTCATTTTATTTTGTTCTATCTCCTATTCTTTTAATTTTATTCGAAATTCGAACACGAATCACTGTGAACATAAAAAGATTACATGAAATTTAAATTCGCACTTACGATTAAATAATATGTTGAATTACATTATCCAAAACTTACAAAGACCGATAGCGCGTTTTAATTAGATGTACTGTAAGATAGTCAATCTTGAAATGCGATTTTGAGGTGTTTGATTTTCCCTTGTCTATTTTACTCTGTGTTAAACATGTTTAAGGTTTTTTAAATAGTCTTGTTCATTATCTTAATTTATCTCCAAGAATTTATTTTGTTCCTATCTATCGACTTCAAATTAATCTATCTATATACAGTTCATGTACTGCTCTTCAAAAACTACTTTGAATCTCTAAATAAAGTACCTGAAGACCTTTTTCTTTTTTAAATGTAACTGCGATTCGAATTTGGAACACTTTAGTGCGATAATTAACGAAGTTCAGTTCCATTATCAAATTTACGGCTCCCGTGCAATCGGCTCGATATCATTGGATCGCGATAAGCTTCCGATTGGCCGATGGGCCGTAACTGTTCGAAATTCGAACTTCCACGGATTTAAGGGACCGTTATAGATTTGACCCAATTCTCAAGGGTTTGGAGGGAATAGAATTTTTCTCGGCTATTCGCACATCAATTTATGGTGATTCGTCATTGAGAAGGTTCAAGTGTTCCATCAAGCTGAAAGTAGTTTTAAAAGGGTCATCGTTCTCTTCTCCTTATTCTCTTCGAGTTTTTTCTTCAAATACCCTCTGTAATATAGCGCTTATCAGTTCAATACTTCTAACTTAATTGGAGACAAAGAAGCCGGTGTGCCTTGAAAATAAACAAATTAGAGGCAAATTTATGTATGTGGATGCCTATCTTGTAGTTGGACAAAATATTTTACGAAATAGTTTACTACATTTGAATTTCTACAACAACTTTTTTTTTCCTTATAATTTTTTTGTGGCATGATTGTCTGCCCTCTCTGGACAGGTTCGATGTCAGGTCAACACAAGGCTTAAAATAAGCTTAGAAAGATCCTGCTCTACCTTGCAACGTACAATATTATTAATATTATGTTAAAGTATTCTTTATTTCCTTATTTTAAAATTGATAGAGTAATCTTTTATATTCGTCATAATTTTTATATGTTATTGTATGGCTTCCAGAACTAAATATAATTCTTTCAAATATGTACTATATAAGCTGTGGTGCCTAAGTTAAGGGGTGATGTGCTGGGAACCGCCATCTGTCAGTTCTGATCCCGGACAGTAAATATAAATTCAATTCCAATATTTTACGGGTATAAAACTTCGAAACGATTACTGCGTTTGACAGGTGCTTGTCTATTACTGTTTACGTCACCGGTCTTTTGAACTGGACACAGGTAGACAGGTACTTTGATCTTTGATTAAACAAGATTTACACAAATAATGTCTCAAAAGGTAGGATTGGTTTCCTTACTAAATGAAAATTAAGAAAATGAACAAAAAGACTCGCTTAAAAAAAGTTTTCAGAAAATTGTGTGTTATCTAGACTAATATACAAAGCTGAAGTATTTGTTTGTTTGTACGCGCTAGTCTCAGGAATTAATTGATTTTTAGTGTGTTGGTTAGAGCATTAAACGAAGGCTATAAATAGAGGCTATAAAACATCGCGTTGCGACCAACAAGATCGATGAAACAGCAGAAAATGTGCAAAAAACGGGGAAAATTATTCCTTGTGTCGGTTCAAGATACCGAAAAAATATAGAGAACATAATAAAATGAACGTATCTTAAATTTAAGATTAACACCACTTATTAAAGTCATATCAAATAACCACGGTTTATCGATCTATGAAGCGGCGTTACTCAAATTCGCATTCGATAAAGTGATGTAGACTAAAGTTTTAAAAAACAATAATTGTACAACACCGTAACGTTAGAGTTAGTCGTAGCTACGTGACAAAAATATCTTCCTAAAGATCACTGAACGAATCTATCTAGTCGTAAACAAAATGCGCAATCAGCATGCCCCTCACGTAGTGCGTGCGGTAGGCCCGGGTTCAATTCCCAGGAGGCCATCCCCATTTCATTTGTATGGCGATCGCGACCCAAACAAACAAAATGATAACGCGTCTACTTTGTATTTTCTGCTCGATATAACATATTTCTTATTATTGTTATTAAAACTGATGATTTTTATTTATAGTGAACATTTCTGAATAGCAATCAATTTACTTTTCCTTTATATATCGTCAATAATCATTTAACGGTTTTAAACGCGAAATATATTATTTAACTTATTTACTATTTGAAAACTTTTTTTTCACATGTTGCACGTGATGGCACTATATAAATTAAAAATCTAAAATAAACTAAAAATATCGACTCGGGCAGGACTTATCTACAATTTACTTAAACTACCGCCCGACGTATCGGATGCTTTGTAGCAGCCGTGGCCCCCTTGGTTAAAA